GTTCTTTTGCAAAAGGTTCCTTTGGCCAGCACCGTGTGGAGTTCTATTTCTAAATTCGTGCGTCGGGCTGCGAGGACACCAGCTATTCGGCAGGAATGTGATGTTAACATCGGGTTTGAAACAAACAGATTCAGAGGATCTGTTTGGATCCTGTTACAAACTTCTCATCGAAGGAAGTGGCGTTGCCTAACCTGGTGTCTTGGCTCTGGGAGGAAAGGTCTGAAATAAATAGTCAAATGTATTTAAAATATTTATATTTCCTGTTTAAAAGAATCCTGTTAAAAGCTCAGAATGCTGCAGGGATCGTGGAGAGCTTCAGATTTACATCTCTCACAGATCCTACGAGGTTTGTCCAGCTCTTTCGAAATGACTCTTATGCCAGAGGCCTGGTTTTCTGTGATACTGGACATTCAACTCTTTGGAGCAGAGACCCCCGTGCACCAACACGCTTATTAAAACATACCTACTGTATAACTTCTCCAGTTATGGAGTCTTTTCCACGTGTCAGTGTGACAGTGACTCGTCCCGTCCCCCGGAAGGAAAACCTCTAAGGACAGTGACTGAGCTTCACTAAGTTCTTTTGGAAAAGGTTCCTTTGGACAGCACCGTGTGGAGTTCTATTTCTAAATTCGTGCGTCGGGCTGCGAGGACACCAGCTATTCGGCAGGAATGTGATGTTAACATCGGGTTTGAAAAAAACAGATTGTTTGGATCCTGTTACAAACTTCTCATCGAAGGAAGTGGCGTTGCCTAACCTGGTGTCTTGGCTCTGGGAGAAAAGGCCTGAAATAAATAGCCAAATATATTTAAAATATTTATATTTCCTGTTTAAAAGAATCCTGTTAAAAGCTCAGAATGCTGCAGGGATCGTGGAGAGCTTCAGATTTACATCTCTCACAGATCCTACGAGGTTTGTCCAGCTCTTTCGAAATGACTCTTATGCCAGAGGCCTGGTTTTCTGTGATACTGGACATTCAACTTGCTGTGACACGCTCAGCGCCTCTGAAAGATGTCACAGGTGTGACTCAGGGTTGAAAGCAATAAAACTACTTTTGTTCTTGCTCATATTTTTGTTTTCCTTTTTCCTAAATGCCATTTTAAAACTTAAGCAGTGAAGTCTTCCAAAAGAAGTTGCCAGGTCTAGTTGAGAGGTGGCGTCCCTGCCTATGACAGGGAGGTTGGATTAAATGATCTCTAAGGTCCCTTCCAGCCTAGGCCATTCTATGATTCTATAAATGCAGCATATTACTGTTAGAAACTATCAGTCCTGTAGAATGAGAAACAGATTTTGCAACTTGATAAATAATGTCCACTGAATAATATTTAATAAAATATTTACCACAGCAATAACACACTATGAGAAGTACAGCGTTCTACAGAACAGCTACATCAGATAGCATTTGTGCCCTTAGCTTCAACTTTTCTTGCCAAAATACAGAAGAAATGCACTAGGAACGAGCCAGCTCTTCAGGCTCATTTGCCTCAGTGCATGAACCCACTAAAAGACCAGATAAATGAACCCTGGTGTCTTGAGCAGACAAGATACTGTTGTGCTGGGGTAGCAAACATGTTTTAAACCCTGTAACATGCAATGCGATCGTGTGGATGGATTGTCACAAGCGACACTTGACATACAGAGCGATTTGTGGCACGTGGTGTTGTGTGTACACAGGACAGGTTTCAGCAAGTTTTTACTCACGGTGAACACACATCTGCATTTTTTGGGGGGACAGCTACATACATCTAAGATTATCTGAAGGACAAAGCCCTGTCCAGACGACTGTGGTTGGGGAGATTTCTGGCATCAGCTGCACACAGCAAAGAAAACATGGGTGGGATGCTGATCACTATTTTTAGGCTTTTGCTTTTCACCCCAGCCTGTGCTGCCCTGGGCTCAGCCAGTCCCGCATTGCTCCTCCCGCCCTCTTCTCCGCAGTGTTCTCCTTCAGCCTCGGTGGTCCCAGAGGGAATGAGCTGACTGGTTCCACCACACCTCGGCCTCTGCAGCTGCCTCTTGTGTCGGTGCCAGCAGCAGTTGCCTTCTACTAATCCCCCAGTTCAGATCCCAGCAACGTCCTTTACAATAGAAACATTAACTTAATGAGGTACTAATTACATTTAAGAACCAATTCCTTCTCCTCCACAGACAGTATTTCAGGAATTACTAGTTTGTCTGTAGATACTGTTTGTTAACTTAAATATATATATAAGGTGTAATAAATAACCATTGGGTGGGGTTTTTTTAAAGAAGGGAGGTTAGATTTGTGAAGTTGTTGACGCTTGTCCTTGATTTGCCCCATCTCCTTGTGCCGAGTGAGTCAAAAACTGCCCGGTAGCTCCGATGTACAACCTGGAACGCATCGGCCACTTCTGCAAAAGAGACAAGCACAGCGCCAAGACACCCGTCACCTTTGCAGCTCAGGTTCCGTTTCAAACACTGGTGGAATCGCAGTACGAGGCTGCTGCAGTGATTCCAGCCCCATGTACGTGCCCATTTGTGCTGCCCTCCCTCCTCGATACCAACCACAGAACAGGGGCAGATACAAACTGCACATTAAAGGGAATTTAACACAAGCGCTTCTTGGTGGCATTCAGCACTGACAGCTTCTCGTGTTTTGCCAGCTCCATAGGTTTCAGGTGAGACGATGCATCTTGCCATTCATGGATTATTGGAATCATCGGTCACCTTGGTGTTAAACATTCTGACAGCTCGAGTTTCTCAACCCGAGGAAGAGGCTGACTGCAAATGGGTGCCCCTCTCTTCGGAGGGAGTGTTTGGCTCCGATTTGATGCACCGAGTTTGTTATTAGAGCAGTGGATGTCTGAAAGGACAACTTGTCGTACACACTGGATGCCAAAACAACTGAAATGCAGCCAGCATGTTCCTCCAACAGAATATGGCATTTTTTTAAGACAGTTTTGGGAACAGACTGGCACTTTTCCTCTAAGTAATGACAGATCTAAAAACTACGGGGGCTTAATACTGCAGGTAAATCTCAGGTCTTCTATTTAAGGGCATAGCAGCATATTCTCACTTGGAAAGACCTCACAATCTCATTCATATTTTTATTTCAGGAGTGATGTTATGAACTTCTCACCAACAAGACATCTGACTTTAAAGTCATTAACCATATTTTTAGTTGGTGTATACACAGCTGCGCTGGGACATTTTACTTTTCTTGCTCTTTGTATTTACTGTGCTTGATATATAAGTGTAGTTAAAAGTCCTTATCTGTACTGGTTGACTCATATCCTGCATTTTGGGTGTTTATTTGAAGCAGGTACTATGATTCATCTGCAACATTTCTGTTCTAGCGCCATCTAAAAATTTTGTTTACTACAAGGAGTATTTAAAAGATTGGTTATACTCACAGAAACCTTACAGAACTACATACAGTTAAATGGCACATAAATAAGATTATTAAAAAAGTAACTGCTAGATAAATCCAGTATTGCTGTATTCCAGTAGCCTGCAAAATGTGTATCTGGATCATCTAACTGCTGTAATAACTATTTAAAAAGTATTTTTCTGCCATTAGTAGTTGGCAGCTGATAAAAGTGCCAAAAGAGACCTGTGTCCTTTTGCTGTAACCAAGGGAACGAACAGAAGCTACTTAGAACTTATTTTGAAACACATCACAATTTTTTTCTTTTTCTTAAAATTATAGCCATCTTCTAATTGATGCAAAGGGTTTGCTTTCTTAATGAGCTCACTAATCATTTAAATGGCCTCAGAAGCTTATGTTCCCATCACGCTTTTTACAGCAACCAAAACTGCAAACAAGAAACTCCCTGTGAATTAGTCACTTTATAGGAATTACAGATTACTTCACAGATTAATTAAATCATTCTGAACTCATCAGACTCTTAAAAAAAAAAAAGTGAAAACACTGCAGTGCTCTCACTCGCTCCCTGAGACCAGAGCCAAAGCAAACACCCTGTGGTACGTTAGTCCCATCAGTCACTGAGCAATGCGTTTGAAAACAATCTCCTGCCCCAGGTCCTCGCCTGCAGCAATTCTCCCTTCGTGTCCTCCCCGCATTGCTGTGAGCGCTCTTGGACAGAGGGTACACCAACCACACAAAATAAATGCACCAGAAAAGCACCTTCATAAACAGAATTAGCATGTGGCCAGTAATTACTGTCACCTCTCATGCCTCGGCTGCGCTGGCCAAAGCAGGCGCTGCCCTGGCTGTAGTCCCTGTAGTGGGACAGCCCATCCCTTCCACCATACACATCCCCTTACAGCTGGTCCTGATGGATTTGGTGGGGAACCACCAAGGTTTCCAGGCAGGGACTGAGGAGGTGCTGGTACTCCTCCAGTGCTGCCCTCCACCTTCACGACCAAGGGACCAAGTCCCACGAGGTTTGGACCTATGCTGTGTTTGATGGGTTTGTGCAAAGGCCCTGAAGGCTGGAGGCACAAAGCCAATGAGCTTCAGGACATTTCCATCAGGCCCCTGGCACCCAGGTGCACGGTTAGTCTAGGCAGTCTTCTCATCTATTAACTCTACTAAGGTAAATAAGCTTCAAATCCTTAGCTTCATCTAAGTATCTTTAACACCAATTTACATCTTCGCTGAGAGTAGGTGGTAGCTGCTCCTCAGCTCTCCTACCTTGACAGGGTGGAGGTATCCGTCCCCTCGGAGGGCACCCAAGCCCTCTCCCGGCGACTCTTCCTCATCCTGAAGGCTACGAGTGAGGTGGGCAATATAGGTGGTGGCCAGGAGGAGCACGTCCAGCTTGGAGAGCTTGGTGTCAGGCGGCACGGAGGGGAGAGTCTTCTGCAGCTCAAGGAAGGCATGGCGCAGGGTTTGCACCCGGCTGCGCTCTCGAGCAGCGTTCGCGGCGGCGGGTCTGCCGGGAGGTGCCCCAGCCCGAGGCCCAGATGCTGTGACCACGCAGGAGTTGCCACCGGCAGCAGAAGGCAGCAGGGAATCGTGGTCTGAGCCCGGGCTGGAGATCTCCTCGCTGCTCTCAGCAAAGTGTCCGCAGTCCATCGGTGACTTCCCCAGCAGGGAGGGTTCTGCAATCAACAAGAGCATCTCTAAAGGCAGCTGCAAGCAAACGCTTCTGGAAAAACAAAGATGATCGGAAATGCAAGAGCTACCTGTGCCAGGAAAAGGTGGGATGCAGCTCTGCGAGCTGCTTTTCTGCTCACCCCTTAGAAATTTTACCTTACACACAGGTACAGACAAAGAAGTTAAACTCTTCATAAAGTCTGATATTTAAATTTCCTTTTTTTGGACAGTATTACACAGAAAAAATTTTTTTACTTGCTCATAGCCCAGAGACCACTTTTGAAAAATCCCAACAGGCAACAGGGAGCAGCACTGCCAATGGTTCCCACTTACAGCCAACTAAAAATTAGGCTAAATACAATTTTTTAAACATATTATTTGTATAAGGATGTGGGACTGTCAGTGTATCTTCTACTTAGCTGCCATCATTTTATCAACAGTCTTATAGGTGATCAGTGCTCTATGAATTACAGAAATAAAAATACCATTTTCAGATGCAGCAGTGAGTGGAGTCACAGAGCACAGTGCTGAGTTTCTGAAGGGCAAAACTTGGTCCACAATTTTAAAGAATCAGAAACCAACTGCTCCGCTCATTAGTCAAAAAAATTTGTCTTATCCTTTGTCTTCTACATTTTCAAACTTCAAGTGAGTCTTGTAAGCTGTCTTTTGGCCATTGAGGGGCAAGATAACCTTTCGAAAACAATGGCAAAAAGCTTCTTTTGAGCAAAGCTGAAAATAATGACCACAAGGCCTTTTCCCAGCTTTCAGAAAAGACGGTCAGTCAGCTCCGCCTGTAATAAAACTCACAGTCCTTTAATTCATTCAGTCTCACAGTAAAATGCAATTCAATTCATATTGCCTGAAGTGCAGCCCTTCTTAACTAGAACAATACCTGGTCCTGTAGTCCTCAGTCGAGCAGCCCTTTGAGGTATCTCAGCCCCTGGCTCGAACGTGTTGGGAGCAGCTTTTTCTGTGGTGTCCTGGCTAGACAACAAGGGCAAGAGCAAGTTCCTAAAACTTTTATGTCATTCAAACATTACGTGATTTTAAAAAAAAAAAAAAAAATTAAATCGATGCATGTAAATGACTGAAGATCTGAATTTACAAAAATTAGGACTTAATTTTGCAAAACGTTTCAACCACACACCAAAGTCCTGCTGATGTCCCTCTGTAACTACAGCTGATAATAGTAAAAAAAGTCCAAGACAATGACCTAAATTAAAGATTTCTATCAGATTTCTATCAAAGGAAAGGTTTCTAAATAATCCCTTTTGCAAAGCTCTAATTTGATTGTATTTAGAAGACATTTTTATTTGGGTGTTTTATTGTGATTAATTTGCTGTTAATCTGGCTCCCAGAGTTTTATCAAGTCCTATTCTCTTAAACTGAAGTAAAATTTAGACTGAAATTATTTGTGAAATACTTTGTGTGCATTATAATGGTAAACCAAAGGGAAAAACACCCTCATTATTTTTTATTTTGCTACTTATGATCAATATAAAACAAAACATTAATTCTATGTGAGCTTGTCTTGACTGAGAGCTGAAAAATTGGCTAATTCCTTTAATTTAAAATAAAGAAGGTCCCATGTGCCTTTTTTTTACTTGGTATTTTCTTATTGTGCTAAAACCACAGTCAGATCTGAAAGCATTTTAGTGGCAAAAAAAAAATAAAATCATCATTATTGCTACAGCAGAATCAGGACAATCACGAAAACTGTCAGAAGAGTCTACTATTTTATCTTTATCAGCAGGATTTCTCATTCCTCATCCCATCAAAATCCCACTGAAACGAAGAAGTCTTCCCTGATTACTGGAAAAGTCAAAATTTCCCAGCAATACACAGGCTGGGTTAGTATACATACCTTCCAACCTACTGAAATACAGGACCAGGGCTGGTTTACCTGCACTTTTGATTTTGCTGTATCGATACACAACCAAGTCGAGATCTAGAATGACTTTGTGCGACAGACAATACATAGAAGTGCATGTACCTAAAAACCTCATTTCCTTGGGCACCCCAAATCACGAGTTTCTATTTTAGGAGCTTCTACATCAGATGAAATCCTGAACCTACGGGGAAAAAAAATGGCAAAATTTCAGCTGTGGAAACGAGAGATTTCACTCCGAATTAATTTCTTCCCTGTCACTGTGGCAGTGAAGTACCCCAGCCACTCTGGATGCCACACTCTTGGTAAACTTCGGGGTCACCCAAGCCTCGTGGTCCAAAAACCTGTTGCCAAAAATTAAATTAAATAAAATGCCTCTGGACAACAGTCAGATTCGAAGTAATCTTCTCTATAATTTTACAAGAAAGAGGTTTGTATTTTAAAGATAATTGCAGTAATTTTTGCAAACACCCACTTGCTGCCTGGTGTGCTGAGAGACCTGAAGTGGGGATGTGAAAGTAAGTCAAAGTATTTATATTATTTCTAAAGCATTTCTACTGCAGTATTTCTAACGCAGGCAGATACATTCGTGTTTTTACACGACATCACAAAGACAAAATCGGTTTGTAATCTAATTAGTTTGCCGAAGAAAACTGCACAACATTTATTTTAGTCCCGCATTCCTTGTGAATGGAACAGCGATGAAGCCGACCTGCCCAAATATGCCAGGAAAGGATGGAAAACGCCAGAGCCGAGTATGCGAATCGAAAGAAATAGGTGGAAACCCGAGATAAACTTGTTCGCAGCCTTTCCAGTTGCTTCTTGAGGGGCGGAAGAAAATATAGTTAATGTATATTATTTTGCGCGGATTTTAAAAGCTCTTGCGCTTTGCGTACCGAAAATACTTTCTCTAGAGCAGCGAATTAAGAACTTGCCGGTCAGTGTGTGCGGGCAGCGCCGGCG